CGACACCAACAAAATGACATTTATTTTAAAAAATAAGGCAGCACAATCCGTGGGAATAGCCGATACTGAGAATCAGGGCTGCGATCTGCCTGGGACTTTTCCTCACCACCGTTTAGCCTTCAGAACCCTGTTCGGGGCTCACATGCCGAATGGATGGGCCAGGAATTTGTTTTATTCTGTGACTTGATGGTTTGGGTAACTCCTGGAAGAGGTTATCTGGATGTTTTATTCAAAAAGAGTTGAGATGAGCTAAAGGGTAAGAGCTGTAACAACTGCATGCACAGTGCAGCTCAGGGGAGCCTGGCCTCCCTGGCCTACCTGCCCCACCCCCCCCACACCCACACACCCACACACCCACAACCATAGGCTGCCAGTGGAATGGTTCTCAGGCTGTTTTAAAACTGAAAGTGTTTTGTAACCACACAGAGCATTTGAGGTGCAGAACTATTGTTGTGCATAATCTACTATGTTTTTTAAAAGTTCTGGTAAAGAACAACATTTGAAGGACATAGCTTTGTTTTATAGAATTACTAGAGGCCTGGCACACGAAACTTGTGCACAGGGGGGGTCCCTAGGCCTGGCCAGCAATCAGGGCCAATCAGGTTCCTCACCTCCCCGCCTACCCTTCCCTCACTCCCTCAGCATCCCGCCACCACCGCTGGTCACCTGCCATGTTCCACACCACCCCCTGGTGGTCAGTGCACGTCATAGTGAGAGATCGAACTCCCGTTCTCCCAGTCTAACTCCCGAGGGGACACTTTGCATATTAACCTTTTATATATATAATAATTGGATTTTATTTGTAAGTATGTGCCAAAATCTGCAAATAAATAAAAAGCGAACTCAGTCTACTTTAAAAAGAATAACCTTTAGTGCAACATTTGCATTCGCACACTAAATGTGCTAATTATATGTAAACTAGTGGCCCAGTACACGAAATTTGTGCACATTAAAAGGGAATTAATTGTAGGAAATATTTTAATATTGGTATTTGCCCTTTCTTTATAATAGAAGTGTCAGAGATGAAAGAAAATTAGTTAAATGTATATGAAAATAATATGTACATTTATTAATAAATAAACAATAACAGTGTCAGATCCCCTGGCCGGCGCCGGGCGGGGAATGCAGCCTCATGTCCCCCAGCCTTGCCACGCACACAGCCCCACCCACCTGTGCCTGCCATGCATACAGCCTCCTGCTGATTGGTTGTTACAGCATGAGAGTGTCACGACCATTTGCATATTACCCTTTTATTACTATAGATGTTTCATCAGTCCTTTAAAGCAGGCTTCCCAGGTGTTGGGATGGGTGCTGGGTAGTTCCTCACACTTCAAGGTAGAACTATAGTATTTCTGTGTGTGTGTGTGTGTGAAAGTGAGAGACAGAGACAGAGAGACAAAGAGAGAAATATAACATACAGAAAAGTGTATAAAATATGCACATACTGTTTAACAAATAAATATAAAGTGAACAGGTAAAATAATAATGGAACATGATCAGAATCCCCCATCTGACATCCTGTGGATCCTCAATTTTCCTAAATAAGGCCAAATTGTGGCTGAACCAATTTGTATCCCACCCATCATTGATGAGAATTCCTGCTGCTCCACAGTCTTGCCAATACTTGACGTTATTAAATGCTAACATTTTGGCCAATATAGTGGCTGTACGAGTATCTCGTTGTGGTTCCAGTTTTCGTTTCACTGGTTACTAATGATGTTGAGTATCTTTCCATACGTTTATTGGCAAACTATATTTCTTTGAGCATGTTTTGTTATGTAGACCTCCCCTTCCATTTGAATATCCCCAAATCAGATACATTCGGGAGATTATAATTTAGCTAAACTTCGTAAAGCCAAATTCACAGTATTGAGTCAACATCAATACTGTGCGGGAAGAGAGAGATGAAGTAGAGAAGAGCGACAGACGGATAAATCACAGGTAAAAATAAACATTGTAATGGAAAATCCAGAAGATTGGAAAGGAGCTTCACAACTGTTTTAAGAGACAGGATGAGTTTTGCACGGACTGTAAATTGGAATGGGGGGAAATGCAAATTAAAAATGGCAAAAGGAAAACAGGACCACCTCCCCTTATTTTATTATATAAGAAAGGATGTCAATGAATATTTTCCACGAGCCTCTCCCACAGGAAATACCAGGCTCCCTCCGAGAGCCTCACACATAGAAAGAAACAGGGCATTTGAGCTTCTGTTCCTTTCCCCTAATAAGACGGATTTTAAATGCTCAGTATCTTGCGAGCGAGCACAGGACTTGCTCAGTGCGGGTCTCCTATCTGCAGCGGGAAGGTAAAACCAACCTGTTTGATGTTGCTTGTGACTGAGTCGGAATGACTGTTGTTGCCTAAGGTGTTGGTGTAATAATTAACTGGAGGGGAAGTGGTTAGGGGAATGGAGGTTTCTGGTTTGGCCCAGAACTGGGAATTCTTAAAGATCGCCTGCCTGTCTTCTTAAGGACTGTCTAGACAAGAAAGCTTTTGTGGATTAGGGTTACCTGTTTACAATAATTAGAGATGTTATTTACTTTCATCGGTTTGGTTGCAGAAGAAAAACAAAAATGTCACTAGTGTGACTCAGAAAAAAAGCAGCATTCTCTTTCTATAAAAGCTCCAGTTTATATCATCCCTGATCTGCTCAAGGAAACAGGGGTACTGAAATGTTGAAAATCAGTCCATCTTGTCCTACACATGAGTGGATTCACCAGCCTAACCACAAAGGTTATAACGCTAATTCATTCAGAGAGGGTTTACACAATAGTACTAATTCTTATCACACATCCCTGGAAATGGAGACCGCATTTTACAAAGAAATAAACGAACTCACATCAAATTACTGAAGAGTTATGGGCCCAAAATAGAGCTAGCTAGACGTGGGCTACCTAATTCTATTTCACTTGCCCTGATGTTCCCTTCCAAGATTCAGCCCTGAACCCTTGGACCTCTGCAGACTTCGGGATGGTGACATCCAGTCACATATTTGCGGCCCTGACCTTTTGTCTGAGCTTCAGTCCTGACCTTTAACTTTCTGCTGGGTATCTCTAATTTCCAAAAGCAAAGGCCATATCAGATCCCCCTTTGGACTTCCTCCTTTATTTCAGCTCTTTCAGTCTCCCTCCACGGCCTAAACTCTTGGCACCATGCCAGATTCCTCCTGCTGGTCTATTCACCTCTCCCTTCTTAATCTAATCAGGAGCAAATTCTTGCCAGATCATTCCTTTTCATCCCTCCCACCCCCACCCCTTGCCTTACCTTATTTCTAATCCAGACCTTTATCTGTCTCATACTTACACTATCCTAGACCAGCCTCCTAACCAGATGGCTCCAGCCAGTCTTGGGCTCTTTGACGCCAGATTCATTTCTGAGTTCTGCACGGCCCAGTCTTTCTACAAGCACGCCCGCCACGCCTGCCTGTCTGCTTTGGAGTCCCGTCTGCGCTCATCTCTGCCCCATCCCCTTTCTTTAATGTCCCCTTTCCTCATGCTTCTTCGATGGGACCTCCCGGACAGCCCCCCTTCACTGTAACACCTCCCTTGCTTCACTCTCTGAATTCTTCTTTTGACACCAGGACTTGCGTAGGAGTCTGTGTTGTTCTTTACATGTAATGATTGCCCCTATCTCCAGGGATGTAAGCAAGTGTCTTTTTGCACCTTGCTTTCTCACTTAACATATCCTGGGCCTCTTTCCTTATCAGCACATATATGTTTATCTGATGCTTTTAAAATGCCTGCTGAGTATGGATGTCCCATAATTCATTTAACCAGTGCCTTGTGGATGGACATTGGTGGTTTCTTCAGTTTTGTTATTATCAAACATGCTACAGTGAACACTCATGCGTATCTTGAGAACGTTTAATAGCCATAGGTAGAACTGTAGCAATGGGATTGCCGGATTAAAAGTATATATGCACATCTTGCCTGGCTGGTGTGGCTCAGTGGTTGAGCACCGACCTATGAACCAGGAAGTCGAGATTCAATTCCCAGCGGGCACATGCCCAGGTTGGGGGCTCAGTCCCCAGTTAGGAGGCATGCAGGAGGCCACTGATCAGTGATTCTCTTCATCATTGGTGTTTCTATCTCTTTCCCTCTCCCTTGCTCTCTGAAATCAATTAAAAAAAAATTTTTTTTTAGAAAGCATATATGTACATCTTAAATTTGCATAGACATAACTAAATTCCCTTTTGAAATAATAGTCACTGTCCGCCCCCATTTTTGATATCACTAATTTTCCTGCCACCCCGGATTTGGACATTGACAAAGGGGGAGCTTTGTTTAATGGCGGTTCATTCCCACCCAGAATTAGTGGAGAAAATGTGAGGCCAGGAGAAAAGGGAATGGAAGGCCAGAAAACAGACTCGCAGTGGCTCCTGTCTGCCTCCACAGACTGGGGTGACCGGCCCGTGCTGGCAGAGTGCATCCTCCATCTTTCTTTGCCAATGTTCGACGGAAGCCCAAATAAATCGAAATGTACCCAACTATCAAAAAGGGATGATCTTTATACTTATTTTCTCTCTACAGATACGCATATAAAGGAAATGAAGCTTCATTGTCTGAACCATTAGGAACTGTCCGAAGGGATGGATGTAAAATGTGTGAACTCAGAACAGCAGCGTTCAAACCTGTTCAAGACAAAGAAGCCTCCAGAGCAGCCACGCCCCGTTCCGTCATCTTAACTGCCTTTGTGCGACCAAATGTTTCCCGTGCCCACCGGAGGGAGAGAAGAGGCGAGCTCCTCTTTTCGTTGCTTTAGAGCAGCAGTTCCCAACCTTCCTAACGCCACGACCCTTTAATACAGTTCCTCATGTTGTGGTGACCCCCAACCATAAAATTATTTTCGTGGCTACTTCATAACTGTAATGTTGCTACTGTTAAGAATCGTCATGTAAATATCTGATATGCAGGATGTGTTTTCATTGTTACAAATTGAACATAACTAAAGCATAGTGATTAATCACAGAAACAATATGTAATTATATATGTGTTTTCCGATGGTCTTAGGCGACCCCGGTGAAAGGGTCGTTCGATCCCCAAAGGGGTCGCGACCCACAGGTTGAGAACCGCTGCTTTAGAGTTTTGTTTTTCTACTTAGTGTTCCTGTTTGAAGTCTCAGGATTTACGGAACAATACACGCCATCTACCGCTGTGTGCCATCCGGGATTCCCCGACAGTGTGAGAAGTGGGGTAAAAATATTTAGCTGAAAGCTGATCACATCTGAAATCACACCAAGGGGTATTGTGCTGTGATTCGTCCCAGAGAAACAAATCAAATGGTGGCAGCAGCAAAGCAGGTTCCTTAAAAAAAAAAAAAAAAATAGTATGTAGACATTTTAGTATAATACATGTTTTCTCATTGTTGGGGGGCAGGGAGCCTGAAAGCAAGGACTAAACCGGAAGGGTCTGTGGGGCTGCTGGCCTTGTTACTAGCATACCATAATGCAAATTTTGACTATGCAAGTGGGCCAAGTTAGAGGAGTCCAAAAAAAAGCACATCCTTAGACAGTCCCGGCCCCCCTTTCCCCCAGCATTCATTCTGAAGTCCTACCTTAAGATTACCTACAAGGAGGTCCCATCTCATGGGGACTAGGGAGGCTTGTCACCGCTTGATGAATGGACTGCGCAGAAGCCTGGCCCAGAAGGTGGCGGCTTCCCAGAAGGGGCCCAGCATAGCTTCCTGGTGGAAAAGCCAACCCCAAAAGAGAAAGTGAGCTAGTTGGTCTTGGGTGACTCTTCCCCACCCCATTCTGGGTACTCCCAGCTTTCCAGAGCTCCGGTGGCTTAAAGTGGTTTAAAGGCAGCTCAGGGGCAAATACAGCCGCTTCTAAGACCCTCATCTGAGGAGGCAGGTCCAGTTCCCGCTGCAGGGAAACTGCTCCAAGCCTGGCGCTCTTCCATCCTCCCCAGGACCACCCTCCTACCCCCTGGGGTGGACTCCATGCACCCTGACCGCCTGAGGACCCAGCGTCAGTCCGACGCGCTGCAGTGAATCTCAATGCACTTGGCCCCTGCAGGTCTGTGCGTCCAGGAGGGGAGATGCTGCCCCTGCCCAGTGCTGTGCCCTGCACCAGGGGGGCAGTCACCACTGACCAGCGGGCAGGATCCACACCAGGAGGGACTGGGCTCGGGAGCTTGGGAGAGTGGGCGACGGTGGGATACACCCTGCTGGGGAGGAGTTTGGGGACTGGGAGGCTAGGCTGCCTCCAAGACCGAGGGGCTGGGGGCGGTGAATGCTGTGTCCAGGCCTTGCCAGCCGTCCCCGAGCCCGCTGTCCGGCCGCTCCTCAGCGCTGACCAGGACTTAGTAGCTGCTGAATAAATCGGAGCCCGGGGCATGGGGCGCCCTGGTCCTCCAGGGGACATTGGGGCCTCGAGGCCTGGCCTGTGGCGCCCTGGGCTTGCTCCGGGCTCGGCGGGGCTGGGCTGGGGGGTTTCCCCGGGCGGGGACTTTCCGGGGCAAGGGCTGGACGGAAGGGGCTGGATACCGGACACGTCCCCGTCCAGCCGTCCTCACCCCCGCAGTGGAGGCAGGCGGCCGAGCGGGCGCCGGTGGCGGCCAACCCCTCTGGGGCGCACGGCCCCGCGCGCGGAGGCTCGAGGGGCGACGGCGGCCGAGGGAGATGGGGGTGGGGTCGGGTCACAGTTTCCTCGCAGGCCGAAGGGCGGGCGTGTCCGGCGCGCCGGACCGTGGGGCCGTCTCCGTTTGGCGCCGCGAGGCCGCGGCCTCCGGGCTGAGGTCACCGGGCCAGGCGCCCTGCAGCAGCCCCCGGGCGACGGCGCCCGGACGCGCCACGGTCACGCGATGGGTGCGTGGCGCGCTCTGCCGCCGCCTGGGACCGCCCTGGGGTCCGAGGGGCCGCGGGGCGCGGCGCGGGGGCCCTTTGTGCCCTCGGCGTTGGCCGGGCCTTTTCCTTCCGCAGGGAGCGCGCTCCCCACCCCTTTCCTCTGCGAGCCCTGCTTTCCCTGAAGTCATAGAGGGCTGAGCAGGGCGCGCACACTTCCCTGCAGCTCCTTCCCGTCCCCAAACTCGAAGCCCCCGCGACGCCGGGCCCGAGGGAGACACTCGGGATCCGGGGGGAGCGCGCAGCGCCCTCCAGCCTCCTCCCTCCCCCCCGGCCCGCTGCCCTCCCCTCCCCCGCCCGCCCGCCGCCCCGCGCCCCGCGCGCCGCCCCGGGAGCGGCAGGGTTAAGCCCTGGAATGTGGCGGCGAGGAATGTGCATGCAGATGAGCCGGGCGGGGCGGGCCGGGGGGCGGGGCGCATGCAAATCGCACGCAAATGAGGAGGCCCGTCGCCGCCGCGGCCGCCGCTCCGCCGCGCTTCCCGGATCCGAGCCCAGACGGCGGCGGCTCGGGCAGCCTGGGCACCGCGACCCTCGGCGGCCGCAGGGGGACGGGGAGCAGGAGGAGGAGGAGGAAGAGGCGGAGGCAGCGGCGGCGGCCGCGCGGAGGAGGAGGAAGAGGCGGAGGAGGGTTCGATCTCGGGCTCCGACGCAGACATGGTGGACTGATCCCCGGCGGATTCCTGGACTGATTCCCGCGGCGTCCCCCGCGCGTGGCCCCGCCGCGCCCCGCGCCCCGCAGCCCCTCGCCGGCGCCCGGGCCGGACAGTCGCGTTCCCGCCGCGTCCCGCGCCGGGTCCCTATGGAGGCGCCGCTCGCCGGCGAGGCCGCCGACCATGCCTAGGAGGGCCGGGAGCGGGCAGCTGCCGCTACCCCGGGGCTGGGAGGAGGCCAGGGACTACGACGGCAAGGTCTTCTACATCGACCACAACACCCGGAGGACCAGCTGGATCGACCCCCGGGACAGGTGGGCGGCGGCGCGGCGGGCGCTTGTTGTCCGGGAGACCCGGCCGAGCGGGGGGCGTGGGGCGTCGCGGGGTCCGGAAAGGGGTCCGGGAAGAAGGCGCGGGAAGGTCTGCCCAGGCCGGGCTGAGTCCGCCGCCAGGCCCCTGGGAGGAGGGCCTTGGGGACCGCCTGTGCCGGGGCCCCTGCGCCCGCCCACCTCCCGACGCCCCCCGGGACCTGTGGACCCTGCGGGCCCCGGGGGACCGGCGGGACGGGCGGGACGGGCGCCGGGGCCGGCCCTCCGTCCAGCGAGCGCACCCAGACGGGCCACCTGAGCCCGGTTCTGAGCTCACCAGCGTCTGAAGTTGGCCCGAGGGGGGCTGGCGGGAGGGGGCCGGCTCGGTGAAGGTGGGGAGCCCGCCGTCCAGGCCGCCCGGGGCCCCTCTCCGGCGGTCCTTGGCTCCCCACCGGGGCTGGGAGCTGCAGACGGGGCGCTCCGGTCAGGCCCCCGGGGTGGGTGTCATTGGTTTTGCCCTGCAGATTTCAGAAACATGTGTTCGGGGTTTTGCTGCCTTGTTGTTCGTCTTCACCTGAAAACTCGAACCGACTCCAGACCTTGGGAAGGCAGAGCCTTTTCTGCAGTGAGAAGCGGTGAAGTGCACCCCGGGCTGGCCCGGGCTCCTGGGGAGTTCTCGCTGATTCCTGTGGGGACCAGCGCGCACTTTCGTTCCCCTGGGCCTGGGGCGTGCAGAGCAGAAGCAGGACAAAATCAGGAGCTCGGGAGCCTCAGTGTAGCTGAGTGTCCACAGATGTTCTTCCTCTATCTATTCTATCCCATCATCTTTTTTTTTTTAAATCCTTAAAAGGAAACTTTTTTGTTTGTTAATCCTCACCTGAGGATATTTTTGCCATGCTTTTCAGAGAGAGTGGAAGGAAGGGAGGGGGGGGAGAGAGAGAGAGAGAGAGAGAGAGAGATCACTGAGCGAGTCACATCCACTGGTTGCCTCCCGCACGCCCCCGCAAACCCCTCAGCTGCGCGCCCTTGACTGGGAATTAGGATTCGAACCTGTGTCCCTTTGGCGCGCAGGGCGACGCTCTAACCACTGATCCATATGGGCCAGAGCAGGGAGCTTTTATAGTTAGAATTATTATAAGAATATGAGATCCTCCTAATTGTAAACTTGTAATTCGTCCACTAAGGAGCTATTTCTAATTGTGATTTTAAATAAAATACATATATTATTAGGGATACCTCCAACATTTCTGAAACTTTTCCCCCAGCTATTTATGGAATGTGGCCTTAGGGGTTTATAACCTTTTCTAGGTGCTTCTACACAACATTACCCTTTTTTCAAATTGAAGCTGAAACATAGTTTCATACTTTATATTCCCAGTTACTTTAGTCCTAAGAATATTGTTTTTGGAAGCTGTAGAAGAGCAATTATAGAAAGTCATAAGTTACATTATAAATTTATGGAACAATCCTTATTAAATTATCCATGAAGGCGTCGGTGTAGGTTTCCCTCCTGAGATGAGGGAAGGCAGCTGTGTGGAGTTCTCCTTGCCACAGCCCGGCTGCCTGTTACCTGCCACCGGAAAGTGATGAGAGCATCACACCTTCACAGTCTCCCCGGATACGGTTGTGGTCATAAACTCCCTGCTCCAGGCCAGGTGTTGCGCTTTGAAACTACTTAACAGATAGTCAATGCCGGTGATGATGGTGTGCACCCAACAGGGCCTTTTAAGGCACCTGTGTAATTATCTGACCTTTACAGTTACGTGGGAATTCTTTCTGCTTGCTGGTACTTGGAGTTTCAGGTTATTGAAATTGCAATAGATTCTTGAAATATTCAGGCATTTCAAGTTCTCTTCTTCCATTTTCATGTCTTATTATATGTGTTTACCAACAAGGGTTATAAGAATATGTAAGGCCTGGGCAAAGCAAATAGAAAGGGAAGGGAAATTCATGACATGGCTTGGTGTATCCATATTACTGCTTCTTAAACAAGTTAATCGTGTCTGTTATTTTAAACTGTTAATGGATTACCAATTATTAGGAACTGTGTTTTCAAGAAACTGGGTAACCAGTTCATTTGCTGGAGGCAAACAGTTTTGACTAAGATGACTTATCATTCCAGCTTTCTTGAAATTGTTGGATTTTTAACTATCTACCAACTTGACAGATTATTTCTGGATCTCAGTATCCAAGTGTTAAAAGACAATTCCTTGAGAACAGAGTCAATGTTGACATATTTGTGTTTTCTTTTAGGACAGTGAAGTGTCTGCCAGTCTTGCTAAATAGTGTAAGAGATGCTGGGAGAGGCTTTTCGGAGAACTCTTGGCTAGGCAGTTTTGGTTCACACTCACACACGCACCGAACATGGAAGGAGATGTTACACAGGCCTGGAGTGCGCCTGTTCTTCCACAGGGTCCGATGACAAGGCCCGAAGGAAAAGGGACTGGGTGCCCTGTGGGTCTGCAGTGCTTTTGAACGTTTAAAGCCATTTAATTAAAACGACCAGGATGATTTATCCAGCCATTTTTATGTTAAGAAAAAGAACTTTGTGTTTCTGATAGTCTGTCAGAATTTGAGAGGTATTTCTGATTGTCTAAATAATTATGCATATTTAATGGGGGATTTCATAACATTATTTCATTGAACAAGTTGTGGTTTTCAGAATACTGAAGTATTATTTTGAAATACTTTCAAGCCCAGCCAGTGTGCTTTAGTGGTTGAGCCTATACAGATCCATGAACTAAGAGGTCCCTGGTTCGATTCCTGGTCAGCTGTCTCTCTCTCTCATCGCTGTTTCTATCTCTCTACGACTCTCCCTTCCTCTCTCTCTAAAATCAATTTAAAAAACCATATTAAAAAAACAAAATACAGTACGTTCAAGCTTTTGGAGGTGGCTGACATACGCCGCAGACTTTGCGGGCGGATCAGAGCTGTCCTTGCGCCACCTGATCGCGCCCGCTTAAATGGGGTTCTGCATCCCTCTGCAACTCTATTTTTCAACTCCAAGATGAAGATCACACCACCTACCTCCCAGGGATGCTTGGGGGCCCATCATTCGGGCCCAGCCGAACAGTAGTAGTTGTAGTGCTGTTCCAGCTTGGGAGCCGAGTGGAGCTTCAGGTTCCCCCTGAGAAGAGTAGAAATACTAGCACACGTTTCTCAGCGTTCATTGTGGGACAGCCACTAACCCAAGCTCTTTAACTGGGATCTCATTTTGTTCTCCTTTAGCCCTGTGATGTGAGGGGTGAGGGAGGCGCTGTTACTGTCTTCCAGTCATAGACGAGGAGATGGAGCCACGGGGAGATGGCTATCGCCAGTGACCGTGGAGCCAGGATTGGAAGCCAGGGCGTCCGACTCCCCATCTGGTGCCCTTTTCCTTCCTCCGGGCTGCCCGGCCACCTGCTCAGCAGCCCTCGGGTAGGGCACCAACCTGTCTGCCCAGCTGATTTTTCAGGCTGATTGGCCAGTCCTTACTAATCTTTAAAGGTTCCTGTCCACTTTTTACAACCCTGGGACCCCCGAGTTAGCCACGCGAAGGGTCTGGTTCACGCATGCCTCGGAAGTGTGCCTTGTTGGGGACCCAACAAGTTGACCACCTCAGAAGTTCTATTTAGGGGAAGAGTTAAGCGCTGTCTCACCCCTGAATAAATTACAGTTTTACTGTAACAGTCTTGACTTTGCCCTCCTCCTCCCCTCTCACTAATCCTGGGGAAATCTCCCCGTCCTTAATTTCTTGCCCCGGCGTGACTCCCCCCTCCCAAGGGCTACTCCCCCAGGAGCGCTGTTCTTCTCCCTCAGTCACCCCTATTTGGCTCACCAAGGACGCCCTTTGCACCAGTTGGTGTTTATGGTGGCCCATAGATCATGGCCAAATGGCCTGGTGTTTTAAAAAAATAAAAAAGACCATATTCAACACGGGAGAAAACGGTTGGATGGATTCATTGCTTCTTGGAGGAGTAAGGGGCCAAGGTAGGTAGGCAGGCCTCAGAGACGGGGTGAATGGTTTGACAAACTCCCAGGAGAATTCTGCCCCCTTTTCTATTCTTGGATGGACCATTACCCAAGTGGACCATGACTGTGTCCTTGAACTTAAAAGCTTTACCACCCCACAAAGCGACTTTACCTTAAAACTTGCCAATAGATTGTCATCTTTGGTCTAAGGCTAGTGTGAGATGTTGAGCAACCTGTACTTCCTAATGGAAGGGAAGAAATCCTGGGTTCGGGGTCACCTGGTGACCGTGAGGAGGAAGAGGGTGTCATCGGTGACTGAGTGCACTTCTGGCACATCGTGAGGGAGCTCAAAGTC